TCAATGTTTCTGGCTGACATTGATTCAATGTTGTTTCAATCATTCTGTGCTATCTGGGAAGTTACTGACATGTATTCATGGAAATGTTCTCAAAGCCATTTCTAACCATTTGGGACCCCGGGAGAGCACAAACAAGAGCCATTTTCCACAAATGGAGGAACTATTACTCTGATAAATGCATGAAGAAGTCATTCAGGAGGCCACAAAATAAACCAGAAAGGCCCTGCAGGTGTGACTCGCCTCAGCCACAGACGGCGTTGTTCATTCAACCATAAAATGGAAACCTGGGAAAATGGCACCCATGTGAGAGTTCCCAATCCAAAACCTCTGCTGAGCAAAAAGAACATAAAAACCTGCTCCCACATTTACCCTGAAGTCCCCCCCCCCTCTCCAAAAAAAAGCCTTTTGTAAAATATTCTGGAAATATATTGGAAAAATGTGGAACATCTTGGAAGGTGTGTGTCTGGTTCCATCAGAAACGGACATGATTCTGATAATGAAACATGGTGGTGGTGGTATGATGGTCTCGGAGCGGCTGCCTGACCCAGAGTCAAGGGTCAAATTGACCAAGCATGCAGATAAAACATGAATAGTCATTCATTTGCACAGTAGACGGAGCCTTACCACTACCACAGATGCTAATGTCTACAGTCTTCCTTATCTCCACTCTTATAGTTTCAACCAATCAGCACTAATGAAAATAAATGCTGCTTCTGGATTGGCTGGTTTCCAAGTGCCAGCCAATAGCAGGCCAAGACGACTGGTGCGTACTAAGCTTACTAAGCCACATTTTCTTTAGAATATTTTAGAGTTATACGCTCGACAAACAAATCTGGGAAATGGAAGATTTTCTATGAATAATTTAGATTAACTTTCCAACGGAAAATCCGTGAATACTAGATATATATTTCAGGTTTTATTTAAATTTTCACACAAGTTTAATGACTTAGTTTATTTTTTATTTTGGCTTGTTGCAATCAGCTGTCCATAGCAGGCATGTCGTTTCTAATCTGTTTTTAAGGAGGAAACCTGAAAAATCCTAAAATATTTGGTAAAAATAGAAAAGGAACTAGATACCCTGAAGCCAGGGGGCGCCGTCAGCCGGCCTGTGAACATCCATGCTCTGAGTTCTGCTCTCCACCTCGTCTTCATGTGAAGTAATTTAAGATAATCATGTGGGCTGATAGTTCAGTTATTGTGATATGTTCTCTATTGATTTAGACTCTTTAAATGTTTCTTCTCTCCAGCCGTGTGAGGCTGAGTGACGACAGCTGGGATCAGGTTTCTGTTGCTGCTCTGCTTAAAACGCTGATGTTTTATCTCACACCAATATGTCATGAGGCGTCCTGCATTGTGAATTATACATATGTAAAAAGATTAAAATAAAATAATAATAAAATATATATATATATATATATATATATATATATATATATATATATATATATTTATTGATCTTTTTTAAAGTTACATACTGCAGCTTTTAAATGGAAAAACAATTAACATCTTTTCACGTGGATGTAATTTGGCACTATACAAATAAAAACTGATTTGATTTGACTGATAAAATAATACTGAAGCACACAACTGTTATCTTAAATTTTAATGTCCGTGGCCCTGAGAACTGTAACTGTAACAGGCTGTAACAGAAATTGAAGCTGTGAATACTTTCCAGTTGCACCACAAGTAATGAACTGTCTCTTTTTGATTGTTGGCATTTTTAATCAGTAAAGAATGTTTAAAGGAAGAGGCCTGCTATCAGACGCTGACGATAACAATCACTGAGAAGTCTGATTCTTTTCATTCAGCCTCATTTTACCTGCTGGTCTGCTTCACTCTGTTTTTGTTCTTTTTTCAGTTATAAAAGCAGCAACAATGCACAAGTAGTGACAATTGATTTTTTTCTTTTTTGCACCCAAAACAAATTAAAACGACTTTTTAACGGCTGGTTTTCTGAAATGTTTCAAGCGATGCACGCTGAGTCTGATTGTGCCTTGTTTTCATTTTTCACATTCGCTATATGAACCATCACTTTCACTACTCTCCACACTTTCTTTAGTGTGTTAAGTTGTTCTTCCCCATGGACCTCGAGGTGCAACAAGCTATTTTTAGCAGCTTTCGCCTCTGCAAATGCATCAGGTAAAGGAGCTTTTTTTTTCCCCAATTTATTTCAACACAAAATTTAAGGTAGAAAACATCAAATGTATGTCTAAAAGAAGTTTCGAAAGCGTTGTCAGCAAAAAATGGTTGCCAAAGTAAGTGAACGGCGGACTGAAAGGGAGCTGTGTCACACAGCGTTCTCTGTTTGAGGAGAAAAAAGTGTCATGTTTTTCAGACTTGGTCCTCGCCGTCCTCTCGTAAAACGAATGCAAAGCCCGGCTGTTTATTCCGAGCTGTCAGAGAGAATAAGCCCATGGACAACATGGTGGGCAGTTCTGGCAGCCAGTCACAGCGGAGAGGGGGAGGGCTTATAGAGGTCAAAGAAAAAGAAAAAAAAACAGAGAGCTGGGAGTGAGATGTGGAGGAGGATACATCAGGATAACCTGGGAGGAGGGAAAAAAAATGTGTGAGCAAACCACACACACATGCCTACTCACTAGTAAGCAAGTGTGTGTATGCGGGAAGAGACAGGCTGAGAGACGTTCTTCCGCCGGTGCTGAGGGCGGCAGGTTTTTGGCAGCAGCGGTGCTTTCATGGGTGCGGGGGATGGAAACACGGAGAGTCTGAGGAGGAGATAAAGGCAGAAGAAGATGGGATTTGACTGTACCAAGCTGCGATGATGGGTGGGAGTACAGGGTGGTGGGGGGGTGGGGGGGGTGGGTCATGTTCAGCATAAACAGGTTTAACAGTCTGACTTTGTTTGACCTTGGGCTTCTGCTGCATTTTTCTGTACCTGAGCACGGTGACCGCTGAGCGGATACATGCCCAGACTTTGCTCCTGAGGCCGCGGCCAGCGGGAAGCAGCTAACCGTGCGCGTGGCTACAGATGTTCACGGCGCGGCGCAGCACGCTGGTGTTCTCTGAGGTCAACTGTTCGTGGCGGCGGGCCAGGGTCTACAAACCTCCACTGAAAGTATCCAGCTGTTGGTGTTTAGACTGGATTATTTTATCCATATTCAGAATCAGAATCAGTTTTATCCACCAAGTGTGTTCGCACACACAGGACTACATTTCCCATGACCCCTTCTTCATTTCCTTACATTTAGACCCACCTAACAGGTGTTTCTGAAAAACACCAGACAGGAAGGTTAAGTGAGCGGTATCATGTAATATCAACTTTTGAGCTTTAAATAATTGTATAGTGTTAATATCTCATGAACATACCTGGAGTGTTGCCTTGATTCATTCATGCATGTTTGAGAAATCCTTTCATCTCCATGGCAACAATTCAGCCAAAACATCTGGGTTCCACTTATAATGCCTACCTGAAGGTGGAGCTTCACAGAGAGCAGGAGTTCCTTAAAGAGACAGAACCCCAATTTCAAAGTGTTAAATCAGGAAGTAAAAGCGTTTAAGTCATATTTGACATATGCAGCATTTTTATAACAATTGATGGTAACATATTTACTCGATTGTGTTATAAAATGGCACTATGTGCCTGGAAAACACATAAGGAGTGTTGGTGTCGTCCCCCCTGGTTGAAAAGGGGTGCGGGTTTTAATGTTTTTATCTTTATTTTTTTATTTTTTTATTAACCTTTACTTTCTATTATTTTTATTATTTTTATTATTATTATTTTATCTCTCTCTTTCTTACTGTTTATTCAATCTTACATGACTCTGTGTTTCTGTATTTAATTATGTAAAGCACTTTGAAATGCCTTGCTGCTGAAATGTGCTACACAAATAAAATTTGATTGATTGATTGATAACGCTGCCCCTTTCAGAACCTAATCAATAAAACTGTTTCAGTCCCAGAACAGGGCTGGTATTTTGTTGCTGTGCTGGTGATTTTGTTTTATTAAACTCACTGGTAACACTTTATTTGAAGGGGGTTGAATAAGACTGACATGACACTTTCATAAACACCTGTTATGAACATGAATAAGCCTTCATGAATATTTATGACTGAGTCATAAAGAGACATTCGGTAAATTATGACACTTTTAATACAAAGTTAACATTATTCAAAATGTCTTTATGACAACTTGACATTAACCAAGAAATCATTACTGATATACATTTGTTATAAAAGTATTACTGATTGCACTTTAAAAATTAGGTAACTTTATGTTATTAAAGGTAAAGTTTAAACAGTAATGATTTGTTTGGACTGCCATCTGGTATATTTTTACATTTTCCACAGAACTGCGGCGCAGTGCTTATTTTATCACTCTTGCAAGCATATTTCTAAATGTCACAAGTCTAAATCAAAAAATGCTCCTCTAAACATGATAGAGTTTGTGAACACTATTTATAATGCCCAAAGCAAAGTTCACTGAAGAGTAATCATAAATGGCAATGCAAATGAGAGCCATGCAGTTTATAAATGAATCAATACCACACCACAGCTGCTGATATTTAACAGTTCAGCTAAAAAAAAACAAAATCTGTGTTGCAAAGGGAATAACTGAAGTCAGTTGCTTCCCATTTGTGACTTGAGCAAATGGGATGAGATGTCATGTCATGAGAAAGTCATGTTGCAGACTAAGCTCTGCACTGACATTAGATTGTAAACATGGTTTTCACAACATTTTAGTTGGATAACAGTCACCACTTTGATCTGTTTTTTTTTGTTTGTTTTTTTTTGGCTGCCTGGCCCAGACAAAATAATTTTTTACTTTCCCCAAAGGAAAAGTTGGTCCATTGTTTTACATAGCTACAGACAGGGCTTCGCAAAGAACTGGTACCCAGCATCCCCCGGGGCCATTTTTAATTGAACAGACATAGAAAAAACATTTCCTTCCATTAACCAAAGTGAAACTGTGATAGAAATGTGAAAAATGGAAAGATGCCGAACAACAACCGCTGTCTATGTGCAGATCAAAGGCGGCTTCAGATGATCAAATTGGTAGATTTTGTCACGGAGTTGGACTGAACTGAAACGAAAATAGCCAATCATGTCGATGGGAGACATCTTAAAAGAAAACCGAGCAAACAGGCTAACCAAGCCTGACTTTAAATGTCTTTGATAAGATCAAATTTGGGTTGGACCTGTGGATTTAAAAAGGGCAAGCGGCTGCCATAGAACGATGTCCAGGAATGTCTAGCGTTTGGAGAATAAGGACTAGCTTTACTATAAACATAAACCCACTTTAGTGACAAGTTCATATCTATAGGATGTCAGAAACCTACCAGTCTACATTTTGAAGATGTCGTAAGCGGTGGTTTGTGGTGAGGATGTGGACGCAGGCAGACCCAGGAGGTAGGTGAAAATGATGAGTTTATTGATAATAATCCAAAGCACGGAACAACGGAGAACAGCACGGGGAAACAGGCAATACATGACATAGGACAACCAACGACAAGGATCCGACGAGAGACAAGGACAACAGGTGGGTTTTAATACACATGGGGTAATCAAGGGGATGAGACACACCTGGGAAACAAACGGGGAGGACAGGACAGAGACTTACAGAAAAAACGGGACTGAACACAGAAAATCTCAAAAATAAACACACAGAAACACAGAAGATCAAAATAATTAATCCTTCCTGAAACTCTTCAGCATCAGAGTTACACCCCACAAACGGAACAAGGGGATTGCAAGTATTGGAGAACAATGAAGTTTCGATTGGAAATTAGGATCTTGATGAACAGTTTAAAATAACTCGTCTGTAGAGTAAAAAATTCTGATATAAAGGAAACGTGAAAGGCCATTTGAGACATCACTGACATTGACACTAAATAGAACCTGTCCAGAGTGTACGCCTTCTTTCACCCAATGACCGCCGGAGATGGGCACCTTGTGAAGTCAACCTGTGACTCTGCAAAGATAAGCAGGTAAAGAAAATTGATGGATGAATATGTCTTTAGGTCTTTAGATAAGGGATCATTGCTGGTTTGGCAACTTGACGAACAACTCAACGATCCAGATTCAAAATCTGGTGAAAATGTTAAAAAAGATCATGCCTACCCCAATCCAATTCACTTTGCAGGAGCTATTTGAACAGGCCGTTCTTAATCATGACAACAATTTGCTTGGATATGAAGCTTTCTCTGTCATCTGAATATGTTTAGCTGAAGGCAGTGAGAAGTGCAGCATTCCTTTGTATGAACACAATCGAATTAAATAACTGATCACTCCATTAAACCGTTAACCTGTTGGTAGGAGATGAACAGAAACCAACATAAATGATGGTGTATGTATGAATTGCAGTTGCAGTTGATGTAGCTCGTGTTGTAATACTGTGTTTCTTCCTTTGGGAGATGAACTAAGAATTCAGCTGTCGTCTTTTCTGTTCTGAGGACAGTTCTGTCACAGTGTCAGCCAAGGGCTGAAGGGGCCACAGATGTCCCTTCCGGTCCAGTTCAAGAGTCACCTGCCGACCAGCCTGTCGCTAATTCAGACTTAGTTGAGGTTCTGAGGTTCTGACTGATCCTGATGCTGCAGCCGATCCACCGTCAAACTTAATATGTTAAAGTTACCTGTTTGATAATGCTACCCTGTATGGGCTGAAATCACCAGATAATCCAGGTTCCATGTATTAATGTGCAGCTTATGAGTATCACACAGTATTAAAGTATTTTCATAGTATTAAACTTTCTGATCAGCCATGAATGCGCCATGTTACTGTGAAGGGTGACGCAGAAAGTACCAAGCTGCACTTTTTGAGTCTTATAGGCCCAATGGACAACATGTTCTTCGTCTACACACTGAAAAGACTGAAATAAATCTGAAAAACCGATAAATATTAAAAGTGAAATGTAAGATTCAGTTTTTAAACTTTTTTACATTTGTACATCCAACTCCAGAGGAGTCAGTGCCTCACTAGTCAAGAGTTTCCCCGCATGTCACAGGCTTCCCTCCACCTCTTTGATGTGCGTTGTGACCTGAACAAAGCCTCAGGACGACTCAGGCTTTGTTCACTCTGGCTGGAATCTGACGGAATATGTGGATGTTGATTGATTAAAGGTTTCTCGTTTTGACGGATCCTCCAAGACAACTTTTAATTCGCTGTAGTTGTCATGCCAGGCCACTAGATGGCGACACGATTTTAGCATGCCATTGAACCCTTAAGGATTTCTCAAACATGCATGACAGAATCAGAACACTCCAGATATGTTTTTGACGAGGGAATGGCATTGCAACATGATGTAAAGGTTAAAAAAGTTGATTTTACATAACACTGCACCTTTAACATAAGTTTATGACAGCTGTGTTGCCTTAGTGTCTCATTTTCAAAGATTTTCCTTTTTTTAATATTTGTACCACCTTATACGCACAGATACGTTTAATCTCCAGACTGTCAATTACTTTTGCTTTTTAGATTGTGAAAGACATTCCAAATACGACTCTTGGGGTGAATTTTAAAGAATGCCTTTTAATAATGATAATAAAAAAAAAGATACATTCTTATTCTGTATTTTTTGAGTATTGCTTAAAAGTGACAGGCGATTGGACATGAAGGGTGAGAAAAACTGAAATGAATTATTAGCTGCCGTACCAACTTTTAATGAGTTGAGTGCGGCGTGGTTCTTTCGTCCACTCGCCGCCGTGGGGTTTCTTTAGCCCAACAGCAAGGCATGGAAAGACTTGTTACATGATGAAGCAAAATCAATGCATTTCTCATCTATTCTTTGAATTACATACTGTACGTCCCACAAGAAATAGCACTTTGCAGTCGCATCCCTTATTTTCTGACTGCAGGAATGGCTGCAATTGTCCCTACTGACAGTCTACTTCAGTCAATTCACCCACTCGTTCCATGTCCAGGCTTCGAATCGCTCGTTTTAGGTCTTCTGTTACATTTGATTACAGGGGAGCTGCTGATTCACAAAGCCTCTCGCCACTTATCTGAGAGTGCAGACTTAAAAACCCAGAAGCACTCGTCAAGTGTTTTTGCCTTTTTCAGACAAGAAAACGCATCGGAAACATTGGTTTTATTAGATAACCACAGAGTCTGGAGCACCCAGTTAAAGCCGCATTGTGTTGTCTCTTTTCAGTTTCTTGTCATTTTAAAGCGAGGTCAGTAAAACAATAGAAACATCAACACAAACAAAAACGTGGTATTTAAAATGGGAACTTGTCCCAAATGTCCCAATACCGAAAAAAAAAGAAGATTTTTTTTGTTTTTGTTTCTGGGTGCAACGTACCCAACATTGTCTGTATGATACGCCAATCATACAATAGGTGTGTGTGTGTGTGTGTGTGTTGGGGAGAAGCGTGGGTGATGTGCAATTTAAGAGGACACCCAACAAATCCCATGAGGTGAAACGGGACCCGGCGTTCGGCTTGTTGTGGTGTGTATGTGTGTCCGTGTTCTGGCGGCTCCTCCCTGTACGCCGCCTAATGTGCTGCCATCAGGGCTTTTACAGCCTGGATCTCTTTTCCGCGTCCTTCAGGAGCCACTCAGACATG